ATAGGTAGCATCATCACGATCACATCTCCAACATTTGGGTTGTAGGTTTGGGTACATGCAAGCTAATTTTTTGGGATCCAAATGCCATCTATAAAACATTTTATAAAAATTTTCTCTCAAATTTTGAGCTTGTGTAAATTTTACATTTCTTACCCAGATCCTTTCCCATGTTTCCATCATTATTGGTTCCTCGAAATTTTGTGCCCATTTTATCATACAATCTTTAACTAACTCTGTCTCCGAGTCTATTTCTATCAATATATTATACAACCTTTTTATGTGCATTTGACTCTGGTCCCTAATTTGTTTTATCAAATTTTCTTCACTTTGTGTAATACCAATTTTCTGATCTTTTTTCCATCTATTCTGCAGCTGTACCTATTGAAACCAGGTTTGAATTGCCCTTTCCTCTCTTAATACATTCAAAGCTTTAACTGTAGTACATTTCTTTCTGTAATCAGAAGTTCTTTATAAGTAATTACATCCTGTCTTTGTTCTATACTTATATTTTCTATCGCATGTCTGGGTACTACCCACATGGGTATCTTGCCATTCAATTTATATTGGTATTTTTTCCAAACACGCAGGAGGGCATTCCTTAATATGTGACTTTTAAAAGTCCTATCCGCCTCCTTCTCATAAACTAAGTAGGCATGCCAACCATATAGCAAATCATACTCTTCAATATTCAATAGTCTTTCATCTGTTAAATTAATCCAGTCACTAATTGCTGACAAAACAGCTGCTTCATAGTACAATTTTAGATTGGGCAATTTCAAACCTCCTCTTTCACGTATATCCTGCATTATTTTTAATTTAACTCTCGGTCTCTTCCCTACCCAAACAAAGTTATTAATACCTTTCTGCCATTCCTCCAGATTTGCATCCTTTTTAAGTATTGGTATCATTTGAAAGAGAAATAGAAACTTGGGCAGAACATTCATTTTAACTACTGCTATTCTTCCCAACAAAGACAGTTGTAATTTTTTCCATTTATCCATCTCTATCTGTATTTTATGCCATAACAATTCATAATTATACTTGTATAATTTCCCATTTGACATTGTAATAAAGATTCCTAAGTACTTAACCTTTTTCACTATCTCGCATTCTGTTACTCTTTCCAATTCTTCTTTTTGATTTGTATTCATATTCTTAGCTATCATCTTTATTTTCCCTATATTTATTTTAAACCCTGACACTTGACCATATTGCCTAATTATATCCATCAAACCTGTAACTGAATTTACTGGTTGGGTTAAAGTTACAACCAAACCATCTGCAAATGCTCATAATCTATAATCATGTTGCCTGATCTTAATACCCTGTATGTTATCCGAGTCCCGTATTTTATTCAGCAATACTTCCAAAGTTAAAATAAACAATAGTAGAGACAAAGGACATCCCTGTCTTGTTCCTTTCTCAATTTTAAAAGTTTCTGTGAGATTACCATTAACTATTATTTGTGCTGTTTGTTTCTGATATATTGCCTTAATAGATTGTATGAAATGCTCTCCCAACATTTTCTTAACAACTGGGAAACTGATATGCCCTAGCCTTCTATGGAGAAGGTGGGCACAATTATCATGGATGGGCTTTCCCATAGATACCGTATTTTTACCTGGTGACACACAGTTGGTTTCCCTCTGGTGTATCCCTCCTGTTTCTGTGTTTCCCTTTTTCTCATTGACAGTGCTTATGTTTACACTCCCTTCGTTACGCTTGTTAGGTGTAAAGTAAAGTAGACCGTCGTGTATGGTTACCTTCCCAACCTTTTTCCCTTGATTGGATAAGTATACTCTGCCTTCTTTGAACATTATTTCGGTGTTTGTGTCTATTGTAAGTTTTGTGGTGGCTAGCACGTTATAGGGTATTTCTGGCACATATAACACCTCTTCTATTTCTCCTATTCCTGGGATGTGCACACTTCCCTTTCCTATTATCTTGGCAATGCTGTGGTTGGCCACGCTGATCTCAAAATCTGTCTCTATGAGGGAAATGAATAAATTTGAGTTATGTGTGGTGTGGTTAGTGGCTCCTGAGTCTAAGAGCCACATGTTCTCGCTTATTTTTTGTTTGGAGTATGGCTTCCCATATCTGAACCTGTACATGGACCCCGGGTTACTGTCCCTGGAACTGTCCCTATGCTCACTGTTTCGCCTGGGGTTGGGAGACCACCCACGCCCTCGTTCCCTAAAGAGCCTGCGATCTGGTGATTGTCTCCCTCTGCTATCATTGTATCCCCTGTCCCTATTGTTTCTGGGGCAATCCCTTTTTAAATGGTTCTTGGAACCGCAAGAAAAACATTCTAGAGTACCCTTTGCCCTATCCTGGAACTCAACCCTCTTGGTAGGTCTTGGATCTCTCCTGGATAGATGGCGGTCCCTCCTTAGGTTATCTTCTGCAATTAGGCGATTGGTGAGTGTGTCTAAAGATAAGTGTTCTAGACTGAGACTGTCTAGTTGTGTCACAAAGTTGTCCCAGCCATTGTCTAAGGAGTTTATGACTATGCTCATCATACTCTCTTCAGTGATTGCTTCCCCCTTTGCAGTAATTCAGCCCTGGTAGCATTAAGCTTCAAAAGATGCTTGCTCATGGGAACCCCTGGCCTGAGCCTGGCAGAGTGAAAATCCCTGGATATCTTTGTAGTGGTGGCTCTACTTCTACTGTAAAATAGGCTATAAAGTTTTTGCATGACCTCGTGTACCGTCATGTGATTACCTATGCTTGGATATATAGTGGATGAGATGCTGGTTAACAATATACAAAAAGCCGTGTGATGGATACAGTCAATTTCAAATGTCCAAGGTTCCTGGGGTGGTTTTGAAATTAGGAAAAGTATGTTTTCTTTCATAAATATTATTTGCAGTTGCTGACTCCATTCTAAAAGATTTCTCCCATCTACCTGTAGTTTAGGAAAGTTAACAAGTAATGTTCCAGAATTATTTGAGCAATTACTTACTGAGGGCAGCTGTCCATGGTCCTGGATGTGAGTGAATTCACAATATGGTAATGGAATGCTTGAGCTTATGTTAAAAAAAACTGCTAGTCATATTTTTTTCTTCTCTCCCTACAGGTGAAGACTGAGCATGTGCGAAGCTCATCCCGCGCTGGAAGTCATCGGGTGAGGAGCTCGCGGCTAAGGCTCCTAGGCCTAGGCCCAGGCCTGCCAGGGGGAGGTTGGACTCACCCCTGGTGCATCTGGACTCCACGCTGAGTGTCAGAAGCTGTTGCTGGGCAGCTGGATCCCCGGCGAACATCGGTAGAAGGCGCGGGGTCATCGCGGTCGTTGACTGAGGACTTCTGAAGTCCGGCGGCATGGCGGCAGCAGCGGGTCCCGATCCATGGACGCTGGTCCCTGGGTGAGCAGAGAAGCCCGAAGGAGGTCGTAGAGTAGGTAAATTGCTGGGTTGGTTTTCTTCGCTCGGGTCTCATGCCAGTAGTAGGAGGGGTGGTGAGTTCGAGTTCTGCCGTGGGGTCAGTCTGTAGGTGGTCGATGTCCTGTGCTTGTCGCGGAAGTGTGACACTTTTCTGGGGAGTGACAGGGTCGGTGCTTCGGTGCCCATGGTCACTCTGATGTCCCTCTGGCTTTCGGAAGTTTGTTTACGGCTTGTGGCTGGCACGGGAGGCTTGAACGCGGAACACTGCTGCTAGAATCTCGATGGCTCTCTCTATCTCAAGCTCGGTAGGCGAGCTCCTGTTGCTTTGGATTTGTTTCTCACAATTGTCTTCGGGATGTTCCCCGTTTGTTTTGGAGCTCTGGCTGTTTCGCGCCATTGAGTTTGAATCCCGGCTCCCCTTTGGTTGTTGGCCATTCCAAGATGGCTGCTGGGAAAAGGACACAAAAATGGATTCGGCTAGCTCTGGGTCATCCGACTGGGCTGGCCTGTCCCTTACCAGAGTGGTGGTTCCCTGAATCAGCTCTGGGGCCTCGATCGCTGCTCCATGGTTTCCGAGAAGGCTTTGGAGGTTCGCGATGAGGTTTTCTTCACTGGTAGGCGTCTCCATTAACTTCAGTATTGATAGCCTTAGTTCATCTCCTTTCTGCGATGCTGATCTGTCCCCGTCCACACACACACACAAACACAGCCAGCCGAGGGTTAAGGAAACACTTTGGCACACACCCAGGTCTTTATCTCCAACTTGGCAGCGATATACACACCGTCTGCCAAGTGCATTTATTTCCACAAAACAGAAAGATAAGATACTTAGCGTACAAAAGTCAAATCAGAATAATATTCCTCTCAGCAGTTTCCGGACGAGGCTTTAGTGACTATCCAAGGTTTACTTTTGTTCGTCACAAGGATCACTGGCCACCACCCTCTATTATATAGTCTCTGGGGTGTGGTCCAGTGACTCAGTTCTAATCCCTAGCATGCCTCCTGAGCTGCTGCAATCGTTTATCACGCCTTCAGAGGCGTGCGTCCAGGAATGATGTCTCTCTCTCGCTCTCATCCGAGCCACCTGTCTCCCTGCTAATCTCCTCTCCCTCGGCCGGCACCTGAGACAGTGCCAGAGGGGAGGGGCCTGGAGAGGGAGGCCTGGCTGACTCCTCTTCCTCATGCTCGGAGCTTTCTTCCTCCGATGGGACAGGCTCAGAGGGCGGGGCTACAACAGATGCTTCCTGTTTGCGATTGCTTGCTTTCTCTTGCTGTCTCTCGTTCCTGGGCAGTGAGTTCAGATCGCCATCCTGCTCACTCTCAGTCAGTGTGGCTCTTGCTGTGGCACCTCCGGGTGTCAGTTGTGCAGCCATTTGTAGCCATTTCACAAGAGTGAAAACTCTTGTGTTTATTCTGTTCTTCTTTTCAGAATAAACAGCTGGTTCAGTCATTATTCAGTTATGGGTAACCATCCTCTGCTACCATTCTGTGAGGATGATGGCTCTAACCCAATAACTCATAAGACACAAGTATATCTTCTTTTAATTTCTTTATTGCAGGCCTGAAATGGTCCTAGGCCCATTCAGTTGATAACCACTGACCTTTGTCTCTCTCTTACAGGTACACATCTGGAACTGCTGGATGGCCTCGTGGTGGGACCTCTTATACCCAGGGGGAGGAGTCAGAGGTAAGGTGGAATGATGGGATATGTGGTTATGTTAACCCTTGCAGGACTATGAGGGGATGTGATACAAATGGGTTAGACATTTAACTTGACACCTCAGTTCCCTACAATTCTCCCCTCCCAGTTTCCCACAGCACTGAGTGTGGCAGCCCTGAAGATCCAAGGAAAAGATGGCCTCCAGGGCTGACACTGATGGGAGCTAGCTGAGATGGCCATATTAGCTGCTTTAAACAAAGAAAAAAAACATCTAGTTTTGTTTCTACTTGGAAACTCCTTCTAGACTTTGTTCTCGGGCTGGAAAAAAGATGAAAGTTCGACTTTGGGATTTGCTGATTAGATAAGTCTGTTGTTATACAAACAGTTAGTGGACACTAAGTACGCAAAAGTAAAAAGTTGTGGCTGTAACATTAATATCTTTATTCTACTGTGCTGATAAGTTCTGTCAGGAAATTTCAAATAGAATAGAATGAGCTGGAAGGGACCTTTGGAGGTCTTCTAGTCCAGCCCCCTGCTCAAGCAGGAGAACCTAAAGGGGGAGTTTCCCCCCCTTTAACCCACACTTCTTTTCCTCTTTTCTCCTTCCCTGTTATCTTTATTTTCAGCTGTATTTTATATTTTGATACAATAAAATTATGGGACGTGGTGGCTCAGTGGCTAAGACTCTGAGCTTGTCGATCGGAAGGTCAGCAGTTCAGCGGTTCGAATCCTGAGTGCCGCATAATGGGGTGAGCTCCCATTACTTGTCCCAGCTTCTGCCAACCTAGCAGTTCAAAAGCAGGTAAAAAATGCAAGTAGAAAAATAGGGACACCCTTCGGTGGGAAGGTAACAGCGTTCCATGCGCCTTTGGCATTGAGTCATGCCAGCCACATGACCACGGAGATGTCTTTGGACAGGGCTCTTCGACTTTGAAACGGAGATGAGCACCACCCCCTAGAGTCGGGAATGACTAGCATATATGTGCGAGGGGAACCTTTACCTTTATAATAAAATTATATAAATTATATAAAAATTTGCCACAATGCTAAGCCATACAGCACTGTCTCCGCAGCAGCACATTTGGCCAGACAGACAGATATACACTAGGCACATGATGTGACCACGACAAAGGACTGCTGAATGAGGGCAGTGAGGTGATAATGGATGGAGAGCTGGGATCCGAAAGTTCTTCAGGTGGTGCCCTCCCTGGCTTCCTCTTCCTGCTGGTTGACATCCAAAGTGAGGTGCTCTTCCTCATTCCACGTGTCCAACCCTGGAATACCTTCGCCCAATGGCTAGCCTTCCTTGTAAGCAACCTCAGTGGCATCCACCACACTGCTTTTCTTTGCCTCTGGAGTACTTTAGCCAAATAGCAGCAATAATCGTCTTTCGTTCTTGTTCTCACTGAATATCACCAGAGTTTTTGGTTAAGAACTTATCTTGGGAAGCCAAGACATCATTGTGTTCTCCCTTTTCTCCTTCTGTGCTTTCAGTCTTTTCAGCTTCTTTTCATTCTCATCAGCTTTCAGGGCTCAATGCTGCTGCTGAGTCACCAGAAAGATTCCCTGGCTAGATAACAGGTTTCTCTCTCCATCTGAAAGAGGTTCATTCAGCTCAGTAACCTGCAAATGCACACAAAAGTGTTGACAACTTCAGTTTTAGAGGGCAAAACCTCTCTCTAAAAATACATATACAAACCCAAACATGCAAGCTTGTACCTTATGGCTGTAATCATCCATTACAATTTTATAGCTACAAATACAGTAGATCAGCTGTTGAGTAGTGGAAGGAATGTATTTATTACCAACAATTACCCCTGCAACTCTAGGTGGTTTACAAGGTTTAGAGTTCAAAACAGCCATAAAACGATCAACATTAAGTAGAGTCGGTTGCTGTCCAATTTAAGGGCTGCCCTTCAGGATTAACTCCTGAAGAAAAGGAAATGTGAGAAGGATGGGCAACTGTGAACTCTTGGGCACACTGCAACCAAGAAGCCCCTTTTCTGGGAGTCTCTGGGAATCTCTCACATCTGCAGTATTCCCTCCTCCTGGTCCCTGCAGGATAAGCAGATTCTACCTGGGGAAGATGGCCTGGGCTTTTAGGTTAACACCAGCATTCCTGGCCGCAGCTTCCCCCAGCTTTCCCAGAAGTTGCAGTCAATAGGACTGCTTTGGAGCAATAAATGGAACATGTTAGAAACTGGATCTAGCCCAATAACTCAAAGACATAGCCCAATTCTTTTCAGTAGTTTTATTGTTGATCAGTTGGTACTGGAGGTCACTGACCTTGTACCTTTCTCTTTCAGGTATACATCTGGAATGTACTGTGGACCATGCGGTTGGACCTTTTGTACCCAGGAGGAGGGGTTAAGAGGTAAGGAGTGGTTATAAGGATTATGGGATATGTGGTTAGTTAACCCTTGAGGGTCCGGGGATCAGGGAGACATGGCAGTTAGGCATTTTATCATGACAAAACCCCCTCTAAATGCCTAACTGGGTACCTGAGGCGGTGTTAGCATACATACAGAGAATACACTGGTACAGGCATGAATTATAAGCAAACACGCATTTTTGACATGAGGTAAGCATGTTGTTTATGTGGTAGGGGTTTAGTGAGAATATCTGCTGTTTGCTCCTCTGTGTCACAGTGCACTGCCCTAATGAAGCCTATCTCTGAAAACTGCCTGACGTGTTTGTATTTAATGTCAATGTGCCTAGAACGCTGACCTATGGCATCGGCCCTAGAGATTTCTATCGCTGCCTTGTTGTCTTCGTGGATAACTATTGGATATGAGGGTTCAGCCCAGATGTCGCAGAGCAGGTCATCGAACCATACTAAATTGTTTGCGGCCTTTGATAGGCAAACAAATTCTGCTTCCGTGGTTGATGTGGCCACCAGTTTTTGCTTTCCAGTGTACCAGTGGATGGGGCAATTGTTGAGTAGTAGCACGTAGCCTGAGGTGCTTTTTCTGCACTCTATGTCCCCAGCCCAGTCAGCGTCAGCATAGCAGGTTAGCTTTGGTTCCTTGGATGTTTCTGGTTCTAGGCAGAGTAGGGCATCCGCACTAAATTTTAAGTATCTAAGTAGTCTTTTGATGGCGTTCCAGTGTGTTACCGTAGGTTTGCTTACATGTCTGGACAGCAGGCCAAGGCGATGTCGGGCCTGGTCCAGTTGGATATGTACAGCAGTGACCCTATCGTTGATCTATATAGTTTGTTGTCTGTGAAGGGTTCAGATTCCTCATACATGGTTTTCAGGAACTCGGGTTGCATGGGGGTCTCGCTGGGTTTTGCTTCGGACATGTTGCATTTGGACAGCAGCTCGATGATCTTTTCTCTCTGGGAGAGTCGGAAGCCCTTGTTGGTTTTTATCACTTGGACCCCTAGGTATCTGTCAATCTTTCCAAGTGACTTTAAGGAGAAGTGGCTACCCAGGTCAGTGGCGAACTTGTCACACCTGTTCTTGTGCTTGCTGATGTACAAGATGTCGTCCACGTAAACGAGCACACCTTCGAATGAGTCGTTTTCTCTCCTCGTAAAGAAGCATTTGTCAGCTGAGGTGGCCTCGAAGCCCATGGATCTGAGGGCCTTGGCTAAGCAGTCATACCACCTTTTGCCCGACTGCTTGAGCCCGTACAGGCTTTTATTCAGCAGCCAGGTTTGGTTCTTGTCTTTGTTGTACCCAGGCGGGGCTTTGACGTATATTTCTTTATCCAGCTCGGCGTGCAAGTATGCTGTTTGTACGTCGAATTGGAAGACCTCCAAGCCCAGGATGGTGGCCACCACCAGGGCGCTCTTGACGCTCTCTGCCCTGACGGTTGGCGAGTAGGTGTCCGTATAGTCTTCGGGGTATCTTTGGGCGAAACCCTGCGCGACTAGTCTTGCCTTGTATAGGACCTTGTTGTCCTCTAATGTTTTAACCCTGAACACCCATTTGGTTCCTATTGGTTTTTTGTCCTCTGGAACTTGGGCAGGTGAGTATACCTGAAGGTCCTTTAGGCTTTCCATCTCCTTCTCCATGGCAAGCATCCATTTTTCTTTCTCCTCCCGGGGAGCCCGAGGATGTCTTCATATGAGTTGGGCGTGAAATGGGTGTTGTGGATGGTCATAACGTAGTCCTCTAGCTTCTTTGGTAGCTTGTTTCTGGTTTCTCTGATTGGCCTGCTGGGGGTTGGCTCGGTCTCCTGCATGATGTCTGCCTCTTTGTCCGTCAGGTCATCTATCTTCAGTGAAGGGTGCCCTTCTTTCCAACCTTTGACGCTTGTCTTGCGATGGTTGGCCTTGTGCCCTGTGACCTCTCTGACCTCCCTTTCCTCTTGGCCATGCTCGAACGTGACTCTATTGGCTGGGATGTCGTTGGAGTGTACCCTCGACCAGTTTGCATTTTCGTGGAAACTGGCTGATCTGGAAACCACAAAACGGTTATTGTTGTCGACAAATCTGTAGCCCTTTGTGCCCGGTTCATAACCCACGAACCTTAACCTTTTTGATAATTTTTCCCCTTTTCTTCTTAGCTGTCTGGGAATGTGGACATCAGCTGGGGCGCCGAATATGTGTAAATGTGCAATGTTGGGCTTTCTGTTGTATAGCATCTCATATGGTGTCTTATTGATAGAGCTTGACCACAGTCTATTCAGGGTGTAATTAGCGTAGTGTATTGCCTCTGACCAGAAATGCTGCCCCATCCCAGCATCCTCCAGGGCGCATCTCATCATGGTTTGCAACACTCCGTTCTTTCTCTCTGAGACTCCATTTTGAAAGGGAGAGAAAGGTGAAGAGGTGTAATGCGCTATGCCCTGCTCCCTCAGCCACCTTGTGAATTCTTTGGCCATGAATTCTGACCCCCTATCAGTCATTATCTGCCTTATTCTCATGTTATGTTGCATATCTACTCTTCTGTGGAATTCCTTAAACCTTTGGAACACTTCGTTTTTGTGTCTGAGGGAGTAGACATACCCGTATCTGGTGTAGTCATCTACAATCGTGAGGAAGAATCGCTTCCTATGTCCTACAGAGGGTTTCATTGGCCCTACCAAGTCCATATGCACCAATTGGAAGGGGTATTCCGTGGTTCGTTTGGATCCCCTGGGGATGGCCTTAACCTTGATCTTGGAACGCTTACAAACTGAACACTCTAAGTAGTTTTCGCAGTTCTTTACTTTGAGACCTTCGGTACATTCCGTCATTTTCTTTACAATGGGGAAGCTTATGTGTCCCAGTCTCCTGTGTAGGAGGTGGGCGCAGTTATCATGCAATGGTTTGTCGATAGATACAGACTTGTTTGTCTTCTCATGGCTACATCCTGCCTCCTGCTGCACCCCCTCTGTTTCTGGATACTTATCTACCTCGTGGTTTGTGCTGGCATCAATGCCTTCTTCCTCCCTTGCGTTGGGTGTGAAGTAGGGAAGCCCCTCGTGTATGGTTACCTTTCCTATCTCTTTCCCTTGCTTGATCAAGTGTGCCTTTCCATCTTTAAATTTTATTTCTATATTTGTGTCTCGTGTCAGCTTTGTGATGGCTAGCATGTTGTGGGGATTTCTGGTACGTACAGTACTCCTTTTAGGTCCCCTACCTGTGTGATGTGTACGTTTCCCTTTCCCACTACTTTGACCTTGCTTTGGTTTGCTACCTTTACTTCTGAGTCTATTTCTGTGAGTGAGTCTAGCAGCTCTGGGTTACAAGTAGTGTGACTTGTGGCCCCTGAATCCAGGAGCC